TAAGTTTGGGGTCGTGGGGTTGGGGGGGGGGTTAGGGTTAGGGTTACCTTGGGGGACGTCATGCTGGTCTCCGATTGAGTGAAAGAGAATTTAAGATTTAAGAGTTGGGATTTGAATTGGGTCAGATTAGGATTAGGATTAGGGATGACTCGATACTACTTTTCATGTCTGACAACTTGCAAACTTCACCTGCAACTTGGAGAATCTGCCGATACCGATATCAATACGATACCTTATTTTTATTTATATGTAGAGTTGGGCTTCATCTATCGTAGCTTTTTTTTTCTCATGTTCAATCCTGAAATTTTGACCAATATCCGATCAATACCACTCTTGAGAATCAGACTCAGGATTAGGATTAGGATTATAAAACATACTGTGTGTGTGTGAGTGTGTGTGTGTTCGTGCACCTTTGTCTGCCAGTGTTTATACATGAGTGAGTGAGCACGTGTGATGAAGGCTGGTGTTCCACCCCAGCTGAGACGCTGAGTTTGAGCTTGACCTACTTTAACTGAGGGAGAGAAATATCACCTCCGTGGAGGGGAGGTAATTGGTCGCCTCTGACTCCACCGTCCTCCTGCTTCATTGTGGACAGTAATAGGTGAGTCACATGGGGCCTTTTAAAGACTGTCTGTGAGCGTGTCTGTCTGTGAGCGTGTCTGTCTGTGAGCGTGTCTGTCTGTCGGTCGGTCTGCGCAGGTTTTATTTTCTCTTCTTTTTTTGTCTTTGTTCATTGACTTCACACACGTCGGAAACGTATATTCAAGGGAAAAAGTTAAGGTTCACGGAGCACGGGTTAAAAATAACTCATTGTTAGCGACGAGAACCAGGATCCACCGTGAGAAACGGGTGGAAGAAAAAAAAAACGCTGAAGAATTCACACCTGTTCAGGTGTGAATGTTAATAGGTCGTCATTTCCTAATTGAATTAATTTAACGTGAGGTTGTATTTCTAACGTTGATGTCGCAATAATAATGCTTGAACACAGTGCGATGAACGGCGCTGCCATGCAGTGTATGTTGTTCTGATGGATATGCTAATAAGTCAGGATACTGATCCAGAACGGAACTGGCTGGAAGAGAAAAGACTGATTTTTTTTTTAATAAAAGTATTTTTAAATTAATTGTTGAATTAATTAAATTCATTTTAAAAAACAGATGTCTTTAATAATTAAAATTTTAAATTTTGGCTCTTTATTAATTTTTTTTTTTAGAAATTGATGTTAAAGAGTGAGTATTCACAATGCAGGGGTGAAAAGAGTGAGTATTCACAATGCAGGTGTGAATTTGTCTGGTCAGGCCTTTTGTTAGGCATCCATAATCTGCTCTAACTAACACCCCACTTGTAGTATTTTGTCTAAATAAAGGTAGTATTTTTGTCCACCGGTCAATATACTCCGTAAGTACGCAGACAGAACCTGGACTCTGGTACCTGGCTGGGCTTGGCCGTAGTTGTTTTGTCTCTCCCGGTGTGACCCCAGGGTGAGGCGCAGCTCATGGGTGTAGTCAGGCAGGGTTTCACGCGAGGTGTAGGAGCGGTGGTGGGCGCGGCCGTCCTCGCTCTCGTCAGATGAACTGGTGTAGGACATCTCCATCTCATGGCGCCCTTTGGGCAGTGGCTGGTAGGGTTTACTGTCCATATCCTCCATGGCTTGAACGGCTCCACTTAGTCACTCAGCACAGCTTCAGCCAAGAGCACAGAGCCTGG